TTTTTGGGTTTTTTGGGTTTTTTTTTCCAGTATCAGGAATCGAACTCACGACCTTGTGCTTGCCAGGCAGGCGCTGTGCCGCTGAGCTAAATCCCCAGCCCCTCATTATCTATACAAATTAGGATATACAAGTCTACTTCACAAGTGTAAAAGAGAGACAATAATATCCACTGGTCACACCAACTGAGAAGATCAAGCAAGGTGAAAGATACAGCTCTGAACTCCATATTCTTAAGTACTAATCTATCCCTACCATATAGCTATCTTCTCCCATCAAAAGTTTGGCGAAAACCAAGGACAGCAGTAGAAGAGGCAAAAATTCTATAAGCAAAAAGGAAAAGGAAACCTGGGTGTGCCAGTAATCATGGCAGCTCAGGAGGATGAGGCAGAAGAATCAAAAGTTAAAGTCCAGCATGAGCGCAATTGGGGCAAAGGAGCCTCAGTGTGATGGCCCTGGGTTCACAGGAAGTAAGGAAAGAAGGGAGGAAGGGAGGAAGGGAGGGAAGGACGGAGGGAGGGAGAAAAGGAAGGAAGGAAGGCAGGAAGGAAGGAAGAATGGAAGGAAGGAATTAAAGAGGGGAGGGAGGGCAATGCAGAAGGGAGGGGTGGAACAAGAAAGAAGGTCCCTTTAGTACCGGGGACTCTGGCAGGAAAGGATCCAGTGACCCCGGCCGGAATGATGAAACCAAACTTTGTCTTTGCAAAGAACTAAACATCCGGACACTGGGGATCTGGCCCTACTCAGTTACCTTGATCAAGTCATCACCCTCTGGAGGGCTTCGACTCCTTCCTAAATAAGTGCTCAGGTTCACTTCCAAGGACCCTGCGGTCCTCCCACGGCCTCACCCTGCCGTGCCTCCACTTATAAAAGCCATAAGGCTTTCAGCTGGCTAAAAAGAACATCAAATCCGGATGAAGTCAGAATATTTGAAACTGGGATTGACTCAAATTCCCACAAGTAAAAATTAATTAAGTCATTAGCTGATAGGTTGAACTCAAGACACCTCCCCAGAGGTCACGGACAATAACTGCTCTCAGAGGAGCCTGCATTTTAAAAGCCCCCTCAGGAGCTCCCTAATGCCTCCCCTCCCCCACACCATGCCTAACAAAGGAGGGGTGGGTCTTTTTAACTTGTTTTTTTGTTTGTTTCTTTTAGTTAGGTTTTGGGTTGGTTTGTTTTTCAGGACTGGAGCAAACAGAAAATGGGCTAAATATACCATGTTGGAAGTCTACCATCTAGCTTTGTCTGGCTTGCAGAGACCTGAGAGGAGGGTTAGCAAGTCTACCCAGCAAGCTATTCTCTAAGCATTACTGGGGAGTAAGAGGCAACTCTAAGAACAGAGCAGGGAGCCGGGAACTTCAGGTTTGGGGGAGGCGCACCTCACAGGACCCCAGGAACGAAACAACAGGCACTTTTAGCCCCTGCCCAGTTAACAAAAGGAGCTCCAGGTCTGGCTCAGCTTTGTAAGTCTTCAAATCCTGGAAGCAGAAGCTGAAGGACCATCACCGTGCCACACAGATAATCAGCCCTCAAACAATGATCTTCCATATCTAATCACATTATGACCTCAGCAATCCCTACGCCTAAAAACAGTGCCCTCCTGCTTGGGAAAAGCAAAAGGAGAAGGAAAATGTCACAGGGAGAGGCGACTGGCTTTGCAAGCCCAGGCCAACCACATGTGACAGAGTTAGTGAGGAGAATGGCCCATTTCACAAGACTGCCAGGGCTTACTTGCTCCGGATTCACAAACATTTCGCAATCTACCATCACCGCATCAAGTGCCAGGATTTTAGTGAGTGCCATGACACTGCCCCACCAGAACACCCAGCATCTTCTCCAGCGCACCCCCTCCCAGCGGGTACGTGTGCTTTACATGGTGTTTGGGCGAGACTCCTGTGTTTAAGAACACACTTTTTCCTTTCTCATTCAACACAATTGTGTTATCTATATCCAGTAAGCCACAGGTACTGGAGATACAAAAATAAACAAGATACCGATTCTGCCCTCCAGGGACTCACAATGTAGCATCTTGGTAAATTTGTCTTCTCTTCATTCCACATTTATTTACTACTGCCTTATTAGCGCTTGTCTATTCTAGCACTGTGAAAACATTTACAGGTTGTAAAATATATTATTTCTTCTCTAAGTACTTTTTAAAAAATATCTGAAAGCAACACATGTGGACTGAATTAATTTAAATACAAAATGTGTCCCAGTGACCTCAAACAGTCATTCTGTACTGACCAAGATCCCGGATTCTGGGGCAACACCCTTCCCTGCTCCCTGGGGTAAGTGGGTGTGGTGACACAGGCCGGTTATCCCAACAATCTAGAGGCTGAGGCAGGAGGATCTGTTTGAGGCCAGCCTGGACACAAGATCCTGTCTCAAAAATTTAAAAAAAAAATCCCTCAGGGACATATGTCTCTCACTGCTTAATACCCACAGAAATGGGGAATGTGGCTTTCACCCAAACGCTCTGACTTACTAGGCTATAAAGTTAGACTGTCACACTTTGAATCTTAAAAATAGCAACTGTGTACCTAAAATCTCTCAAGTATGGTGTTTGGAGGTGTAAGGCCTCCACTACCTCCTGGCCCCTCCAGTCCCACTGAGTTGGCCTAAGACAGTTAACTAACTAGAGTCAGGCATCAGGCTCCTGACTGGTGGGGCCAGGGAACTGAGGCCAGCTCTGACATTGTCACTAAGCAGGTATGAGCTACTGGCCAAAGCCTTCACCTGTCTAGGCTGATGGATGATAGCAGAAGCCCACATTTTAAATATAAAATGAAGGAAATGGTGTCAACCATCACTTTTGAGTCTTGATACATCCTCCCAAAGCTCCAGTTTTCATAAACATTTGCATGACAGTTTTCTAGCAGTAGAAAGAAGACCGCTCCCCTCCCCTCGGTGTCTTCCTACAGTGTACAAAGGCAAGGAAGCCACGTCTTCTTTCTCTGCATTTCAGCAAGGAGCAATCCCAATGCCTGAGTTCACTCCAAAGGAAAACAAGATTGTGTGAGGACTGGGAAGGCATGAATGGACAGAACCTGAGCTGGGGCGAGCTTTGCTCTTGCAGGCCTCACACTGAACTAGCAGCTGAGTAAGAAGTACATATTTTCTTTTCTCCCGCATCTGCCCTTTGAATAACAGGTTTGAGCTTCTAGGGCCCCACCCCATCTTTCAACTTAGCCAGAGAACACTCTGCTACAACTGACCCAACAGTGCTGGAATCTGCCAGGGAGGGAAAGCAAATATTCAGAAAGAGCCACCTGCCAACCCCGCCTCCCCCAAACAGTCCTCGGTCCAACTTTCATTTAAGTCTGCGCCTCTGGCCCACGCCCTAGTAAGGGATGCAGTGCGGTGTTATCAGTGTGATCAGTCAAGTGTTTTCAGTGACTGGAAACCCACAGAGCAGGATTGCTGCGGGAAAATAACAAGCTCCTTGCTTGATGAACCTAAAAAACAATCACTCTGACCATAAGATGTTCACTGGGTTTTCTGGAATTTCAGTCGAGGAACTTCTTCATCCAGAAAATTTTAGAAAATGCAGAAACAGAACCTTTTACATTCAAAATATACACTGTACATATACTAAACACATACACAAAGTGTATTTTTGTAGGTACACATAGTTTATCACAAATTTTTTAAATGCTGAGAGTAAGAAGGGCAGACAGAAATCTCCAACCAGCCTTCCTGGTTCTCTCTCTGCACAGCAATAATCATAAATACCAGTGAACATCTAGAAATGGAATCACTGGGAATTTGCTGAGGTTATTTGAAAAGGAGACACACATGATTCTAAACGTAGGAAAAAACCAAACAGAACTACATTAAGTGAGCATCTATTATATAGAGGCAGTATGCCCTTGATACACATCACTTTGGCTAAGTATTGTGTTTTCCTCAATTTTCATCCCAGAATTTAGACAGCTGAGGCAGGAGGATCATGCCTTGAAGCCAGTCTGAGCTGCACATTGAGATCCTATCTCCATAAGCAAACAAAACACAACACAAACCCCAAAGATCAAAAGAGGTGAGTAACTCTGCCAACAGTCAGTTGGAGGACATGGATTTGACCCAGGCCAACTCTCAACACCCAAGAGCTTAATCACCATGGTAAAAACTGAACAGCTTATCATCCCCAAAGAGATTCTTTCTAAAAACTGTGTCTCCTCCCGTTGGAAAAAGAAAATACAGTATCTCAAAGCAAATCTAGAGCCTTTTCCAATTACCCACACATCTGGCAATTCCCAATCTTACACGCAAGTTGTCTTTTCACGTGTAGATGAAGATGTCTGACTGTACTAACTCCCACCCGGTTGGTTCTAGCTGACCTGTCTAACTACTGCTCCGCCAAAAAGACATCTACTAATTCCCTACGCTTTTAAACTCTGAGGTCAAAGCTGCATCCTGCATGTGTAAGGGCTGTTTTCCAGAAACATGCCAAACCCACGGGCGGTTCTGGTCACAGGGCATTTCAAAACACTTGACAGTAAAGACTGGGCAAAATAAATCCTATTGTTGCTAGCCCTAGATGTACACAACAAATACAGTATCCTGTAATTCTACAAATTGGCTAAAGCTGCCAACAGTAAGTAAACAGCGTGAGGAAATGGTTGTTTCCCTCTCAAGGGACACGCAACAAATGGTGACTAGGATCAACATCAGCACCACCAGCCTCTCTCAGATCCAACTGCGAGACGTCCGTCGACAAATATTTACACGCAGGGTTCACATCCACTCTTTGAAGGACTGTCTCTGCTTTTCTGCACCAACTTCTCAGCAGGTGTCCCAGAGTAAACTACTAATAGTACACACGATTGTTTATTAAAAAGTGCCCTGGATGTGAAACGTGGCTGGTTACTTTTCAATTAGGGCTGGAAACCCTATACCGTGTGTGTATTTAACCCCCTAAGGCCTGGAGCAAGGGAGGTGCGCCGAGGCGGTGGGCGAGAAGCGAACCCCTCTTCCAGAGCCTCCTCCCCAGGCAACTCACCAGGATGCCCATCACGTCGGCCCAGAGTCTGGAGAACGCCTCGGAAGAGCCTGCGTCCGGCTCGGGGTCC